CCCCAAAACCCCAAAACCCCAAAACCCCAAAACCCCATAGGTTCAATACAATATTGAGATCATAACCCAATAAAATATTATTTCATGATTTTAAACCACAAAAGTTTAGTTACAAATTTATGATGAAGTTCTATAAAAATAGTTTGGATAAGCCTTATAGAGAAAGCAGCTAGTTCATTTGTAAGACAAACTTGCTGTTAAATATATTTTTCAGCATAGTATACTCCTGATAAATGATCTCTCTGTTATCTTGATATCTCTCACTTCTGAGTCTTTACTTACATCTTTAATAATTTCTCAAAGTGCAACAAAATGTTTAGAAGAGTTTTAGTTAAAAGATTTTTTTAATAATTTTGAATAGATTAATAAGGTGGTACTACTCTGAATGATGAATAAAATCTATCACTAAATTATCTGATAATTTAGGTAAGTATCAACTGGAGGCGGGTAAATGGATAAGTTTAACCACAAAAAATATGCATAGCTCTTGGATATAGACTCTTATCCCCTATTTTTCCTATTCTCTTTGCTCTAAAGAGCAATTTAGGGAATTTTGGTTGAGTTATGAAATCTGGCCAATTCGGATAAAAATTATTCAAACTTATTATTTATAATCACCAGACCAAAATATGTGTGAACTTTGCTTATAAATAAATACCTATTTAAAACATGATGCCTGGCACGAATGCTAAGTTTGAGCTTACTTTCTAATTAAAATTTTGAGAATCTTACTTTCCCATTTTTCCGTTGTAGGCTTCCAATAGCGTATAATTGATTAAACCATTGAGTACAAGCTGGGATATACCAACAGGAGATTTTTCGGCTGAGTGTTCGGGGTGCTTTAGAAATCCAGTTTAAAAGCAAGTACTACCTTAAATTATTCTTAATCGGGAAATTTTAATTTTCATACTTTAACCTATCTTTTGGTAGCTTATAAAGTCTCCAGAATAATAGGCAATAATTTCTCTCCAAAATTCTCCGGGTAATTATTAGGTTTTTTCCTGGCTAATATTTTTTAACCAAAACAATTATCAAGGAATTTATTAATTTTGTACGCCTAGTTATACCAAAGTCTTGATAAAGCTCTAGCTCTTGTTCTCATTTTAAATGAAACATTTTCTCCACATCAAAAAAGACCTTTCGGACTCTTCATAAAATCTGAGGATGAACAATTTGGTGATAGTAGTTCCGAATTAGTCGACACAGAATTATCAAGTTTATTCAAGGAATCAAACAAATTAAATCAGATTAAATGTAAATTTTAAACATGGCAACACGTAAAGACTCGATTGGGAAAGTCTGAGAGGATAGAAAGGAGCACTCGAAGAAACTCATAGAGTATTTATTAGGTTTATTTAAATAGACTAATGGGAACATTCCTTTGGAAGACCTCAAATGTTTAGTGGAAGTCATAGGGGTCTTGAGTCTGGAAATATTGGAAAGTTAGCGGTTTATAGCAGTGATTTATATTTCAGATTAAGACTGTTATTTTTATGGAAGTTAACTTGCATTTGGAAAGAAGAGTTTATGACCATATTGTTAATGGGGTTTAAATAATAGATTTTTGTTTTAGGAACTCTAAGTCTTGGCAATAATACAAATATAGCTTAGCTTGAGCTTTACTTTGATTCATAGCTAGTACTTTTGAGAGCAAATTTACATGAGAGATATTCGCATATTCTCATCTATTTAACAGCTCAACTAGGTTAGTAAAGTATGTAAACTTTATAATAATTTGAGTGATTCATTGTCTACTGTGTAAAGTAAAAATGGAGAATTTTTTCAAGCCTCTTCTACAATTCTTTCCCTTCATTTGAGTAAACTTATGAAATAAAAAAACTGTTTTAGACGAATATTTATATTAATTATTGTTAGAAGAGTGCTTCTTCTGCACTTTTGATATCTTGCATTGTGACCACCACTTCATCGCAAGCGTGGCCAGACTGAGATTGCATTTTGAGGCCTATTTGATTTTTATCCTCTCACAGTCAGCTCTTCATCCTGATAACTTGCCTCAGTAAACCCTTGATATCTGATTGAAGCTTTGATGAATGAGTAGGGGGCCTGTTGGTATGTCTCTTGATTTCTCCCATTTTATTTGCAATATCTGCATTTACTATTGCCACTTGATTCTTCTTTAGCTCACTCTACAAGAGGTAAAGTAAAATCTTTTGAAGAAGGTTCAAAGACTTTATCAAGACTACTTTTCCTGCTGAATGGAGATCCAGACATATTCTTCTCAAGATTAGGAGATGTATTAACACTAGAGACTGAAGCATTCTCATCAATGAGGTCTTCAGATAAGTTTTCATCACAAAAGCTAGGAATATTCATATTGATTAATATTTTCGTTCAATCTTCCATATCTTTATTGGGGTTTTGGGGTTTTGGGGTTTTGGGGG